TGAGATTTCACTGCACATTCCTATTTCTAGGTCATTCATGATAACGTTAAACAAAATGGTGCCCAGCCCAGATCTCTGAGAAACCCCACTTTTGACCTCTCTCCATCCTGAACAGTGACCATTTAGCTCTACCCTTTGCTTCCTGTCTCTTACCCAGCTCTCAATCTATGAAACAAACTTCCCTCCTAAAAAGCCCTTGGTGAGAAACTTTAATATCTGGGTTTTCAAAAACTTTGTCAGCTGGATGCCCCTTGTTCACATGCTTATTAATACCCTCAAAGAACTCCAGCAGATTTCTGGAGGCAGGATTTCCCTTTATAAAAATCATGTTAATTATTCCCCAGCCGATCATATCTGCCCATGTGACTGCTGATTTTAGTCTTCATTATAGATGCTACCAACTTGCCAGGGATGGAAGTGAAACACATGGATCTACGGTTCCAAGGATAACCTCTGGAGCCTTTTTTGGAAGATGGATGTTATATTGGCAACCTACCAATCCTCTGGCACAGAGGCCATCTGTAGCAAGGAGACATACAGCTTAAAAAACCCTTGTCACAGTGAGACTCCAGTAACTCGTGGGCTTCCTTATAATATGAATGAAGCACCTACATCCTCTGGCATTCAATTCTTCTGGCATCCACAGAATTTTTTTCAGTTCTGCAACTGGTGATTTCATTTGCTATTTAGATCACATGCTCCAAATGAACACAAACCAACTCCATGCTCATTGGATGCATCTGCTCAGTGATCCGACAACACAGACTGCCTATAAACCATCTCGGTAGAACCAAATGAGTTTATGGAGGGAAAGAATCTATGCTCTGGGGCAGCTCCCAGGCAGTGCTCTGAAATCAGCTCTAGCCAGGCATGAAGAGCAACTGGAAAAATGGCAATCTAACAGGGTTTGCAGGTATGTGTTTAACTTTTATACAGCAACTCCTCCCTCTCCCCTCAGTCTGCAAGAACAGAGTCTAAGCCCTTTCAGACAGGGAAAGGCAGCAGAACTCCTGGGGAGGGAAAACATCACATCACCTGCCAACTACAGTGGCAGGTTACTTTGCAACACAACAGGTGCCTGGCTGTCTGGTCAGACTCCCTACAATGGAAGGGAGCACACCTCCCAGGAAACCCAGGGTCTGCATGGAGTGGCCTTGGTACACTGGCAGAAGTTACTCTCCCATGAGTAAATACAGAAACAGTACCTCAGTGAGGTGCTGGGAGCACTGTGTTGCCAGAAGGGCTGTCCCCTGAAGAATCATTAAGACTAAGGTATTGAACCCTTATGCTTGAGAAAGTCCCAGGGCACTGGCTACAAGTCAGAACCATAACCTCAGTGCCCTGGCCCAGTTCCAACAAGAGTAAATCCAGTCTGCTGACCTGCACATCTCCCCACAGCTACAACTGAATACAGGAGTATCTTTTGCTTCCTGCACTGAACTGCTCTGTTATGGCTGTAGAGCACAAAGCTCACCAAGCAAGGCCATGAAGGGATGGAGAAAGCAGGGCAGTTGCTCCATCTCATGCAGGCCATGGTCTCTGTGCAGCCTCACAGATACTGATAACCATGCACACATCCCTGAGGACCTACAGAGTTGCCTGTTGTGCTAATGCTGCTACACTGTCACTCCTCCAGCTGGCCTCAGTCTGTTTCCTGCTACACCATTACTTCCCTGTCGAAGGGGAAAATTGACGGGCACATTTGCAGACTTCTCTGACTCAAGCACACTAGCACAGGAACCCCAAAGGCACTAAATGAGGGAATCCCAAAAGCAGGTTTGGTTCTAGATTGAAGAAAGAACAGAGTGCAAATGGAGCCTGTTCTCAATACCTGTCCTGCCTCAGCAGCTTGGGTAAAGAAAGGGGCTTTGGGCATGAATCAGATGACTTGTGCTGGAGCAAGCCGACACAGCTATGCCAGGATGCTGGTGAATAGCAACAACCTTCCTACCCCACCCTTCTGAGCATGAGGAGGCAAAGCACAGCCCTTTTGCTGATTCTGGGGCACACTTGCAGCTGTGAGACACAAAGACAGCCAGGAAGAGGGAAAAGGCTCAATCAGATTGGGCAGCCTGTGCCACTCCCACCTGTGCTGAGCAGAGACAAAGGGGCAGGCAGCTGGTAGGTTCAGTCACCACCTGACTGAAATTTCCCACTCCAGGCTGCTGTCAGCACAGCACACCCAACTCTGGGGGTGAACAAGGACAGGGGCATTCTCTGGTGAGTGGGACCCCTCAGACCCGAGCTACTGCTTCCCCTCAACAGCACTGGCTTACTTCCCCTCTTCCCCTAACAAGGATGTCTGGGATTATAACAGGCTGTTTCAGCTCTGCACTTCTCTCCCAGCATGTCTCCTGTCCCTTTGTGATTATCATACAGAGCCCTGTAAGCTCCAGTGCCCCTCATGCACAACCCCAAGCAGGCCCCATACTGCCAGCAGGAACCTGGTACTCTCCACAGCAGTGGGGCTGTGCTTAGCTTCCCAAATCTCCCCGGTAAGAGCAGGGCTCCTTACCTAGGAGTTCCAGAGGATCACACACATATTGAGCTAGATTCAGCCCAGTCAAAGACCCTCATGCCTTGATAACAGCCAGTTCACCTTGTGCATTTGATCACAGCAGCTAAGCCAGCTTGGCTCTATTTCCCTGCCTCCAAAGCGTACAGCTGGGTGGGGTCTGCAACTAATTTCCCTTCTCAAACCCAGTTTAGTTATCCAAGAAAAACGCCATGTACTGGCAGGTGATTGGCAGCAGCAAAGATGGGGGGGTGGTGTTAGGGTGGGTTTGCAGATCAACTGAAAGGGACTGCCCTGACTATTGGCAGCTGTTGGGGAAGGCCCTGGGGAGGGATGTATGGCTAGGTGCCCATGCTCCTCCTGAGCAAGGAAGATGTCACATCAGGAGGAAAGGAGGAAAAATGATATTCTGCCATGAGAGAAATGAGGGACTTGGGCCATTCCCACCTGCATTCAGCAGAGCCAGAGGGAGCAAGCAGCTGACAGTTCCCAAACTGTCACCACCCAAATGCACTGAACCATGAAATTCTTGCCTCTGACCTGCAGCCAGCAGAGGTAGACAGCACTGCAGCAGGAGCCTCTGGTTCTCCAGACAGCCCACTGCATGGAAAGGGGTAGAGAACATTCCTGTTCTGCTGCTCACTGGCAGCACCACCTACCCTTGGTCACAGCACACCACCAGCCCAGAGCACAGGTCTAGTGACACAGGACATGCAAGTGCTGGTAAGCCCTGCCCATGCAAGGAGGTGCAGTGAGCACACAGTCCTAGCACAACTGCTGGGACATGTACAAATGTAGTACTGCCCACAAGTACTCCCACCTTCTCACAGACTGCTGTACTGCAGATGCCTGCTGCAATGCCTTGCATGGACCCATAGAGCAAGCTAGCCAGTGTGAATGTTCAATATACAATGTGCTGAGAGTGAATAATGCTTCCGTTTCTCCCAGGGCTCAGTGAAAGAGCCCAACATGCTCATTTGAGCCAGACATTCTCAAAGCCAACCAGCTCTGCCATATTACATTGAACAGTCTGCTTCACAAAGAGAGTGCTGAGGCAGCACAGAGCAGGGCCAGGGTTACGGCCTGGACCCAGGACAACATACATTACTCCATGGCATATGCACACTATTCATCACACACCACGCACACCATTTGCACTTGGAGATTCCATCTGCAGCAGTCATTCTAGCCTGAAGCATGAGGGACCCTAGAGTTTCCCCCTGGAAAAAAAAAAAATCGCCTTAGATTTCTAGGATTGCATGACAGCCATTTTATCCTCTCCTGGGCACACCATTTCTACATTGAGGAAGTATCACAACCCAGTCTGCCAGCAAAGTAAAGCCTGGGAAGTGCCTGGGACCTCCCAGCAGGCTTCACTTCCCCCAGCTTCACAGGAGGGCACAAGTGCATTTATTTAGTATCTAATTAACATAGCCTCACTGTCGAATCGGTGAAAATCCTTGTCAATCCCTGGTGTCCTCCACTGCCTTTAGTGCTTCATTAAACCAACAGGTCAGTCAGGATGGGACGGAATGGGGAGAGCTCACAAGTAGGATTGAGTCCATTGTCCATTGAGGGACACAGAGAAAGGAGGTGCACTGCTCACTGTTAGTAAACTGGAGGCACTATTACAGATATTGTATCAGCAGGGCTGCTCCCATTTGTATGAAGAGAGCAGAGAGCTCGGGAAGTTCCCACACTGCAGATACAAGAAGCCTTTTACAAGCATAGTACTACTAATATTTCCCACAGAATACCGACAGCTGGGCTGCACTAGCCTATACTGCAGGAACACACACATTCCACCTCCAAGAGACTGTATACATACTCCCTGAACACAGCCCATCCCCTCAGGGATACCCATCTACTCACCACTTTCCTAGATACCACATGCTCCCCTTCGGTTGCCCAACCCCACAGGAATAAATGCCTCCTCCTCTGCCCCACCCAGGAGACACATGCCTGTTCCCTCAAAGCCCATTTCCTCCACCACCACCAAAGGAAAAACGTCCTTTCCCCCCTACCCTGCCCTGGATAACAAGCATAGTTTGTCTACATGTTCCATCCCTTCACACCCAAGGGGACACATCCTGCTGCTACCACACAGTCTATTTCCCCCACCACTACTAAAGATTGCATACTCTGTCCACTCTCCCCAGATCACCACATGCTCTCTCCATAGGGTTGCCAACTTTGTTTGAATCCAGTCTGAGATGTTTCATCACATAACATAATGACATTAATTATGGTGTGTAGAGTTTACATCAGAAAGGCAAATTCGCATTACTATTACATTTTAAAAACTCGCTGGTCTACTGTATAAATCAGATTCAACATTTAATATTTATTTTAATAAATGCCCTATCATTTATCTGCTGGGTGACTCTCAATAGTCTCCTAGAGATTTATATCCAATTCCTGGAGACTCCAGGGCAATCCTGGAGGGTTGGCAGCCCTATTTCTCCATGCAGCCCAACCTGCTCACCTCACGCAGTTTGTCCATCTCATTCTGCAGCACCTGCTTGGACAGCTCTGTTTCAATGAGCTTCTGGCGGAGATCCTCATTCTCCTCCTCCAGCTTGATCCTCTTCTTCTCTACTGCCTCCAGCTCATTGTGGAGTCGCACAGAGATGTCCTTGGCTACCTGCAAAGAAAGCAGAGTCACTAGTGGGCTGACACCCAGGAAATTAGGGAGGGAGGTACCACTTTTGGTATAGTAGCATTTGGAACACTAAAAGGATCAGTAAGACACTATCATAAAAGGTGTGACATCCCTTCCCCCACCCACAATACTGATCCTGCCCAGGGGGGTTCACCAGTTACAAGGCTCTGCCAGTTACTGGGGCCCTAACATTTCCTCATGGGGCAGGACACAGTTCCCTAAACTCACACATGGGGCAAAGAAGTTTTTAATGAAGCACAGCATACGAGTAATACCCTCAGTTAATACAGGGCCCACAGGACCAGATTTGCAGCAGTAACTAGACAGGCAGCTAAAGTAGTGTCAGATCCTTTCTTCCCACAACTCCCTGCACTTTGTGGGTGTTTGTGGCCTTTCCCTCTCATCAGTCTGAATGGAGCCCCTGAGTGTCTTCCAAGAGCCTGAGATCCTTAACAGCAAGGACTGGCAATTTATAGGTTGGATTTGGCCTGCGAAGACTCTCGATCCAGATTGTGATGGTCCAGTCTAACTCATAAAGTTCCAATCCAGCCCAGAGTGGCACAGAGGATCAGAGGCAGACAGCTGTGTTGCAACACCCATCCCCTTCCTAGCACCTTCCTTTGCAGCCGTCACTTCTTGCTGGTTTTTTTGTGCCTGAACTTACCTTTACTACAGAATTTGCCCGTCTCCATTGACAGTACAGATCCCCATTCCCAACAAGGGTAAGTGCAGGCAGCTTGGGCAACTGGAAGGCAAAGATTTACAGCCCACAGCATGGTCTGGGTTGGAAACAGTGTCCTGTGGCAGCAAAAGGTTTGCAGAGCACAGTTTCCAACAGCATGATATATTTTGCTTTAGTGGATGAAAGGATCAGAGCATAGTGGTGGCAGATACCAGGAAGTGTGAGCTATTATGGGACTGTGCATCTAACCACAATCACCTTAAACACCGGCTCCACAGTGGAAGGAACAACTGTCACATGCAAGAGACACTTATTGCCACTCTTGTAGGCAGGTTTTTACAAGCAGCAAGGAGTACGACTTGTAGGAACACAAAAGGCAGAATTCTATTTCACTTTATTCACCCAAGTGGCAGCTTTCCAGCCATGTTCAGTGGCCATTTTTGACACTTATGCACAGTTTGAGATCCTACGCAGTATGGATGCATAAACATCCACATTGCTACTGAGCACGTGCAATAGGCTGCTCACTGGCCGGGCAAGCACAGAGCAATGTACATGAACACACAAATCACAAAATTCTACCCAACAAAAGCTCCTGATTCGCAGATGATAGACAGAGGGAGGAGGATCTCCCAGGTTTTGGCCCCAGTAGCCTACTGGCTAGGGAACTTAGTCAAAAAGCAGGAGGTTCAGGTTCTAATCTAGCACCACCCCAAGCCAGATGGGGTTTGAAGCTGAATCTCTCCAATTTCCTAGCTCAGTACTCAAACCACCAGAAAATGGGTCAGTCCCTCTTCCAACATCCCTTTTGAAGCTAGCCACCTGGGAAGCCAAAAAGGAACATGTGGGACCAGGAAAGAATCTGTGTCCTTGCTCCCAGTGGAACAGCAACTTCATTGTTCTTTATCCATCAGGTGCAGTGGCTCAACTTCAAGAGGAAGGCTGGAGAGGGCACCTTCCTAGACATTAGGAGTTGTGAGGTCAAATCTCTTCCCAGTGATGGGGGAAGGTCCCAAGACCTGTGTCTCCCTTTCCTTAGGGACTTCCCTAACCACTAGACCAGTCATTAAACAAACTTTTTAGGCTCTAGGCTAGAGTAACACAGCTCGGGTCAGAGGTGCCTGGGAGGGTGGGTAGGACCCAAAGTGGTATGGGGAGAGAGACTGCTGCCAAAGCCCTTTGCTGCTGAATGCTGCCAAAGCCCCACATCTGCAGACTGAATCAAATGGCTGAGTGGGCTCAGACACCACCCACAGCCAGTGCTTGCATCTGAAACAGCTGGCAGCCTCAGGCTAGCATGCAGAGAAGGAACAAATGGGCAGATCTCCATGCCAAGGCAAGCCAACATAGAAACCTGAAACACAACAGCTGCAAAGCCTGGCAGCAGGGAAGGGTGTTAAAGTAGGCCCGAGACCAGGGCAGAGGTCTGCTGCATCAGATTATGGAAAAAATGCACTACTGGCTACCACACCACGAGGGGCTGCAGAAGAGGAAGCTTTCAATTTAATCTTCTTCAGCTCTGTGCAAATTCCCCAGTGCATGCTGGACTCTGAAAACTGACAACTGAGCTGTGGAAGGGATCACTGCAAAGCAGACAGAGCCCTTTGCATAGGGGCATAGCTGCTGTGTGCCTAGAAGCCTGGCTGGGGTCTCTTTGAGGAACAGCATATGGGAAGCAGGAGGGAGCTACAGTGATTTCCCATTTTACTGAAGATAGCACTTAATTCATGTGCATGGGACCAGGGCCAATTGGCAGCTGCTGGAAACTAGAAAGAGGAGTATGTAGGGGTAATCCAGAGTGAGAAATGTATTGGAGTAATCATATCCACATCCTGCACCTGTGACTGAGCCAGTGGTAGAACCGTGTGCCCTGCCCCACCATTCATCTCTCTGGCAGAAAGCTCACAGTGAAGGGCAAAGCATAGGCATTCTATGCATCCTGCATCTGACACTTTTGCTCCACACTTGGACCCCACCACAAAGTTAACCCAAGCTGCAGGATACAAGTATTAGTAGGTGCCTGTCTGTCACATACAGACACAGGACAATGCAGAGTTGCACTGTCCTTTTCCTGGCTTGCCCACAGTTTCTACTGCAGCTCCCTAAAGCAGTGGCTTCTGAGAGCTAAGCAAAACAGTGCAATGAGATCAAATCCTAGGGCTGAAATCCCAGGGCTTCAGCATCATTTCCTAACCCTTTACTGAAAGTGAGGGCCAGGATGCATGGTGCAGACAAAAATGATTTCAGGCTGTCTCCATGGCTAGCAATCCAGCACCAAAGCCAAATAAGAGGGAAGCATGAAGGTGGATGTGACTGGCTGCAGCTAAATCCAGACTGGGCAGCGCTGTACAAGAATGCTTGGAGGTGCCCAGCCTAGAATACAGCTGGGGTCTGCAAGCCAGGATCAAGGTGAACTGGAAAAGCAGTGTAGACAGACAGAGAGGTTAAGAACAGGAGAACAACAAGTAAGGACAGATATTGGTATAAATAGAGCAGGGCTCTGCTACCTGCTATCACTCTGGTCTAGCAGCCTCTTGGGGTTTGTCCAGAGGTGTGGGCAGCGAGAGCCTTGTTTTTAAACATAGGCTCAGATTGTGCCTCTTAATTACAGGCCAGTTAGCACCAGATGCTAGGGAGGAGCCCGTCATCATTCAATTGCGGCATGTTTCTTTTCCAGGATCAGCCGCTTTCTGGTGCCTGGGGCACTTGGCAACTCAAGTGCTCCTTTGTGTAAGGGCCCTGACTTGGCTCGTGCTCCAGCTCTCCTCAGCCTCCAGAGCAAGGATGGAAAAGTATGTCATGGCCACAGACCAAGCCAGCCTCTCCTTCAAAGAGGCCACCATGCCTGTGCTTGAGCAAACTAAATCAGCAGGGGCCTCTCTGTGCAGGACAGATTGCAGCGGCCTGAGCACAGGGACCAGGAGCAGCATCAGGACAGCAAGTCTTTTCTTTGTCCTACTGGGGGCAAGACCAGGCAGGTGAGGGACTGGAGCACCAAAATTGCAGGGGGTGCAAAAATAGCAACAGCTGAGCTGTCAACCTGGCTACCACTGCACTTCCAACAGCACAGCCCCTGACAGCGCCCCATACATTGCTGCTGCCCAGGGCACTCAAGCACCCAGTTACACCTCTGGGAAGTGACGTACTGTGATGCCTGACTTGGCTTCTTAGAATGACCTGACATAGCTCCTGTCCTCTCGATCATTTCACACTAAACTCCAGAAGCCAATTCAGGGAGAAAAGAGCAGGGACCTTGCAAGTCCCATCTTCCCCTGCACTTTTGATCTCTGTGCTGGCTGACCTTGGGAAGGAAAGCAGGGGAGTTGTGTAGGCACTGAAGCAGGGGACCAAGGGCAGAATGGCAAACAATCAGAACGGGCCCAAGGAGGTGAAAGGAACAAACAATTTCACTGGCCTGAAATCTAAACGGAAGCACCTAGCATGCTAGAACAAGAGCAAGCTGTCACTCTCAGCACCTGGAAGGGGAAGATGGTGGTGGGGGAGAAACAATGGGCATGCAGGGCCCCATGCACAAACCCTGGCAAAATGGCTTTTGCTTCAGTACGTGAAGGCCAATATGGGAGGCCTGAGACACCACCCAATGGCTTCTGGCTCTAACACTGCTTGGCTTTACTATGACATTGTAAGGCTGTGTTCGTTTGCAAGAACTGCAGTCAGAAGCAGAAGGAAGAGGCAGGACACAGTTCACTGAAGATTTGTTACTAACCAGGTTCTCACAGCCTCAAAAGGGCTGTGATTTGCTTAATTCAGTTTGGTGGACTTTATACTGAACACCCCAAGTACCCATGCCTCTCTCACTACTTATCCCTTTGGCAGAAACACTCAACTATTGTGCTGGTCTGCTGTTTGTAAAGCCATTGCTGGATACTGATCAGGGACAAGCAGCTGACTAAGGAATGAGAGCAGGTAAAGCCCCACAATAATCAAATCACCTCCGCCCATCCCCAGCTTTGTAAATAAGCTTGCAGTGATTGATGCCAGATAGAAACAAGAGCTTAAGTCTGCTGGCACAGAAGGAAACACAGGTGCTGGATTGCCAACAGAATCCCAGTACCCCTCAGCTGTTGCTCTAAGGCAGTGATTCTCAACCAGGGTGATGCGAGAGCCTTATAAGGACGCTATGGGTACCACACAATATTGGCGCCATTAGGTGTGCAAACATCTACACAAGATTCACAAGGTAAACACAGAGATTTCAAATATCCACAGTGCCAGAAACATTCTGCCCTGTTGTGGTCTTTTTGAGTTCTCTGCAACAGAAGAACTACTCTACTATTTT